GGCTCCCTCACTGTGAATGCATACTATACCAGAATGAAGACTATGTGGGATGAACTAAAAACCTATCAGCCTGCACCCGTATGCCATTGTGGTGGAATGAGGGCTTGGAACGATTACTAAGAACAAGAGTTGGTGATGCTCTTTCTGATGGGACTCAATGAATCATACACCGGAATACGCAGCCAGATTCTGATGATGGAATCTTCTCCTCCGATTACGAAGGCCTTCAACTTGGTAGTGCAGGAGGAGCGGCATTGCTCTATAGGAATCGAAGGGGTGCCTTTTGGTTCAGAAGTAGCTACAGGTGCGGGCACTGTCGCCCTAGTACAAGGTGGAAGACGAAGGCCCTTGTGCTCTCATTGTGGGCTCATGGTCCATCTTGTGAACCGTTGTTATAAGCTCCACGGTTACCCCATCGGTTATAAGCCCAAATCCAGGAGCTCACTCACTGAGGCCCGTGCCACATCCTTTCACAATCATTCAACTCAACATGAAAATGGGCCTAGAGGGCCTGCAGTCCATTATTTCCCTCAGCCCACTACTGAAACCCATAAGCAGCAGCAGCAACCACAACCCATTCCCAAATCTTCTTAGGCCCACGTGAAAGGGCACAGCTCGGGGTCTTCTTCCTCAGTCACGTCCGTGACAGCCCCTATTTTCGCTGCGTCTCCGGCCTCTGACTTCAGCTCCGCCACTTTTATTGCCATACTTAGCCCATCACAGATACAGAACATAATAGCCCATCTAAGCGCACGCCTCTATGCTCCATTCTCTGCCTCTTTCATACCGGCTCCGGAAGTTGCCTCCACCTCTGCCTCCATCGACACCTTCAAGTGTGATGTATGGCTTCTTGACACAGGAGCCATACATCACACTTGCTGCCTTGAATTCCTCTTTATAACCCATAAGCATGTTGAACCCCTCCATATTAATTTACCTCATGGTAGCTTCGTGATAGTCAATCAAGTCGGTAGTGTGGTCTTGACAGAATCCATAACCTTATCCGATGTCCTGTATATTCATGAATTTACTTTCAATCTCATAAGTGTTAGTAGTTTAATCACAACTCATTCCTGCACTGTTAATTTTTCCCTTAATTAATGTGTCATTCAGGATCTCACTCAGGGATTGTCGATTGGGAAGGGTAACCGTGTTGGAAATCTCTACTACTTAATTACTAAGAATTTTACTTGTAATTCAGTTAACTTTGATCATGTTAATGCTAAAAGTTGCCTTTGGCACTTTAGAATGGGTCATCCATCTCTTGTTAAACTTTAATATTTAAATAAAAAAATTACAACTTTATGATGTTTTAAGGAATGTTCCTTATCATTGTAAAGTTTGTCATCTTGCAAAACAAAAATGTTTATCTTTCATTTCCACAAATAAATTATCTGATAATCCTTTTGATTTAATTCACATTGATATCCGGGGTCCTTTTTCTGTTCCCACTACGGAAGGACATAAGTATTTTCTCACCATTATTGATGACTGCACTTGGACTACATGGGTATGCCTTCTTCAAAATAAATCCGATGTTCACACCATATTTCCTAATTTTTACATTTTTATCCTCACACAATATAAAATTCCAATTAAATCAGTGAGGTCTGGCAATGCGCATGAACTAAGCTTTCAGTCTTTTTTCAAATCCAAGGGAATCCTTTTTTTCCATTCCTGTGTTGAAACTCCACAGCAGAACTCAGTTGTTGAGCGTAAACACCAACAGATTCTGAATGTTGCACGTGCTTTGCTCTTTCAATCTAATGTCCCACTAACTTATTGTGGGGATTGTGTCTTGACTGACGTATACATCATCAATCGCACTCCATCACTTTTACTCTCCAATAAAACACCTTTTGAGTTACTAAATAATAAGAAACATTCATATGACCACTTACGCACTTTCGGTTGTTTATGCTACAGTTTCACACTCGAGAGCTACAGACATAAATTTTCACCCCGCTTTCGTGATTGTGTCTTTCTTAGTTATCCCTTTGGCTATAAAGGATATAAGCTCCTTGATCTTGAAAGCAATCAAATCCAACATCTCATGACACGTCACATTTTAATGAAGATATATTCCTTTTTTTTCTTCCCTACCACACACTGACACCCAACAATGACATCTTTTCATGATAGAAGTTCTTTCCTAACTCCTTTTGACAGTGGGATTTCACCCGCCCATTGATACACCACTAACCCCCCCCCCCCCACCCCA